ATATATATATAGTGTATATATATATGTATATATATATATATATATATATATATATATATATATATATATATATATATATATATATATATATATATATATATATATATATATATATATATATATATATATATATATATATATATATATATATATATATATATATATATATATATATATATATATATATATATATATATATATATATATATATATATATATATATATATATATATATATTCATAAATATATATATATATATATTCATATTCATATATATATACAACAGTTCGGTCTGGTTCTCGAATCTGATTGGTTGATAGCCATGATATATTTAAGTAATATCAGCATCCATACAGCCTCTTTACCCTTTTTGTATTACTCTGCCCATATACAGCCAGAAACAAGCAGACACTACAGATTTAAAGTGTCGTTAGAATCTTTAAAAGATGCTTGCTCCGCTGTTTAACTGTCAGTTAATAAACATATAAAAAAAATGTACCACTTTGTAATGTTGCCATTCCTTTTCACAACACTTAAACAATGTTTAGGGACTGAACACACCAAGTGATGAAGTGTTTCAGGTGTAATTTTGTCCCATTCTTCCTGCAAACAAGTCTTGAGTTAGGCAACAGCACAGGATCTTCATTGTCGCGTTTTGAACTTCAAAATGCGCTACACATTCTCTATTGGAGACAGGTCAGGACTGCAGGCAGGCCAGTCAAGTACCTGTATCCTCTTCCTCTGCAGCCAGGGCTTTGTAATGTGTGCAGAATGTAGTTTTGCGTTGTTTTGTTGAAATATGCATGGGTGTCCCTCAAAAAGAAGGCAGCATTAATGGTGCCTTCACAGAAGTGCCTTTCCAAAGGCACTGACACAACCACAAAGACACACCCTGGGTTTTGGACTTGTTGCTGGAAGCAGCAGGGTGGTCCTTTTCTTCTTTGGTCCAGAGCACACAATGTACATTTCTTCCCAAATATACCTGAAATACTGATTCATCTGACCACAATACACGTTTCTAGCCCAGAGAAGTCGACAGTGCTTCTGGACACTGTTAACGTAGGGCTTCCTTTTGGCACAGTACAGTTTTAACTGGCATTTGTGGATGTACCTACAAATTGTGGCACTTGACAAAGGTTTGTCAAAGTAGTCCATGTGGTGATATCACTTTCAGATGAATGATGATTCTTGATGCAACACTGCCTAAGAGATCAGAGAGTATGGTTGTTCAGCTCAGGCTTGTGTCCTATTATTTATTATTTTTAATTTTTTTATTTTGCACCATTTTTAAACAGAAACATGCCGGAAATATTTTGTCACAAAGTTTCAATAGAAAAGAGAAGAAAAAAGCATGGTATATTTGTCTTTAATGTTATATTATTATTTTAGTAGCTTAGATAAAAAAAAAGAAAAAAAAATAAGTCTCAATTTGGTTTCCATACTAAATAATACTTAATTTCCAACCCAGGCTCATTCTGAAAACGTAGTCCAGCAGACGTTTCTGGAGACCGCAAAATACGTCCCGGGAGGTACGTATTTGTGCAGTATTTGTTTTTGCAAATTCGCGAGAGGCAGCTGTGTGCGCTTTTTCGTATCTCGAACGTCTCTCGCGAGTGCCGTTCGCGCCCGCTCTGTTCTCGCATCAACCCACCAGAGGCCGCTGTCTGACTGACCGAATGATTGACAGTGTGACCGGCCAATCGGCTGACCCACCCTCCTCCTTTCTTGAACCCAACCAGTTTTACAGATTGACCCACCCGCCCACTCACTTCCCTAAACCCGAGCAACAATTTAGAAAAGCCGTCTAGAAAAAGAAAATCCCTCGGCTGTTTTTTTTTTTTTTTTTACCACGTTTTCGGATTTCACCACGTTATCACCCTGTTATGAACTCGTTCGCTTTATTTTTTGGATTCTGTTTTTGTCTTTTGTCTGTTCACTTAAAAAATGAAATGCAGCCATACATACCTCCCAGGATGTATTTCGCGGTCTCTAGAAATGTCCACGGGACTACGTTTTCAGAATGAGCTTAGGTTGTTAATTTCCCATAATAATTAACTTTTGATCTGAAAAGAAATATAAACAATGTTATTTATTAAAGTGTATATATTAAAACAATTTTTGAAAGATGTAAATTATTGTGACAGCACTTAAATAAAAAACAGTTTAGATAAAAACTAAAAGATTTAATAATTTGAGAAAAACGCCTTCTGCATAGTAGAGACATGTACTCAACAATGTGTTTTTACCATTCAGACACACATTCCAGCTCATCACGCTGTGTGGAATCTGGCCAAATCAATTCAAACCCACAATCATAAACTGAAAGGCAACAAATTATAAAGTTCTGAATGTTGGCCAGCGCTGTGTTGTCTTAATATATCGAAAATGAGGAGCAGCGCCTCAGACTGTCTGCATGCAGATTTGTGCATATGCTCCACACTCTCTCCAGCTCCGAGAACATCTGCTGCTCTTCTCCTGCTTACAGATGCTCAGTGCCTATAGCAGCTGCTACACACCACACACTGCTCTTGTATTCTGTGCTGAGAAACAGTCAAACTCCTTTGTAATTCACCCTGATAAATGCAGTCGAGATGCTCATCCTTTTGAAGAAGTTACAAACCGCTAATAAGAAATCTTTGAAGAGGCCATATGAGGTTATCTTTTATTAGACGTATCATAAATAGGTTAGCATGCTTTATTACAGGCTGTCTGGAATACTTGATTCTGACTGGTCAGTTGTGACATTCCAAGGTATGGTATTCCCAGATAACAACCACTAAATAACCAACACAATCTCACGGCAATTTGTAACTTTTTCATTTAGTGGCTAATTCGTATGCATTCGTACGATCTAATTCGTACAATTTAGTACGATTTGATTATCCCCCAATGACGGTTGGGGTTAGGGGTGGGGTCAGGTGCCACACCTCCTTTTTAAAATCGTACCATTTCGTACGACTGAACTTGTACGAATTCGTACGAATTAGCCACTAAACTGGCAAAACGTAAAATACTTACGTTTTCTCGTGAGATCAGGCTGAAATAACACAGGCTTATCCAGGAACTTTGACCTACCTTGACGGTTAGTAAATACCTTCAAATACATATTCGTAGATACATATCCATATGTATCTGCTTATCTGTCAAGCCATGCACTCTGACTGTGAGACATAGGTTAGTGTATGCTTTCTTAAGCCAGTTCTGTTTCTGTCAGCTTTTTTTTGTTTCTTTAACGCTATATTGTGACTGAATAATTTGCAGGTTAGTGTATACTCCATCAGCTGTTTCTGTTTCTGTCAGCTTTGCGTTTAATAAAAAAAAAAAATGATAACAACAAGGTTGTTTATGTAATTTAGTTTGTTTTGTAGCCATGTTATAATCAGGACAAAGTACATCCAGTGTGGTTGTTTTTGCATAAAAAAATAGTACTCCGCCAATAAATCTGTCAGATATCTGTGATAACAATCTCCTGGATGTACTTTATCCAACTTAATGTTCAAAATTGTAATTTACAAGGTTTTAATTGTCAAAAATAATCTGGTTCCAGCTCATTTCATTTCTTGTCGGCTTAGTCCCTTTATTAATCCGGGGTCGCCACAGCGGAATGAACCGGCAACTAATCCAGCAAGTTTTTTTACGCAGCGGATGCCCTTCCAGCTGCAACCCATCTCTGAGAAACATCCACACACAAACTCATTGACACTTATACACTACGGACAATTTAGCCTACCCAATTCACCTGTACCGCATGTCTTTGGACTGTGGGGGAAACCGGAGCACCCGGAGGAAACCCACGCGAAGGCAGGGAGAATATGCAAACTCCACACAGAAACGCCAACTGAGCCGAGGTTCGCACGAACCAGCGACCCAGCGACCTTCTTGCTGTGAGGCGACGGCACTACCTACTGCGCCCCTCAACCCACTAATATAGATTTAATTCGCTTTCTTTGACTGAATTACTAATATAAAAAGTGGCTACTTTAAGTTATCAAAAGCCTGCTTTCTTGTCTGTGTTCATTCCTGCA